ATTGCAGTAACCCTAACACAAGAAAGGAAGTATAATAGTAAATAACTATCTAAGGATCGATGTTTTAATTTAGATGAAAGTTTAATTTCATATAATACTTTTTTATTATTATAATTTATATATAAAAGGCTAAATATGACTGAATGGAAGAGTAAATAACTATTCAGATCATTATTATAATTTAATAAAAATTGCTAAACATAACTGAATGGATGCCTGCATTGCTATTTCGCTACCGACTTATCGCTAAAGCATAATTTCATCTCGTTGGTTGTTCAAACATAATTTTCTATAATGAATGATGCCTTTTCTTTGAAAGTGCAGAATCGCTCAATTATTTGTTTGCCGCTTTTTAAAAGGGTAAAAACAATTGGATTTTTGTCAATTTTCTTTTACTTTTTAAGATAAAATAGGTCGATGTGTACATAGATAAAGTCAAGGGTGTGCGCAGTGCCATTTTTGTGCAATTCTAGGATTTTTTTTAAGTGAAAATAAGTCGATGTATACTTGGATACCGAGTATGTGCAATTCTTAAAAACGCATCAAGCAGTGAGTGATTCTGCACTTTACCCAAAATTCTATCACAGACTTTTCGTCATGGGCAATTCCAAAATTGTTAAATCCATAGGATATCAAAAAAAGGATTTAAAAATTAACTAGTATTTCAAAGGCGTCTTAAGAAATATAGAACTGTATAAACTTACGCAATCTGAAATCAGCGCGTACACTAGATTTGGCACACTGTTAAATGGGCGCGTTTGCTAGATTTGGCGCTTTTGCGCATACATTTTTGCTGCAATTTTTTTTTACGGCGCTCAAAACGGAACACAGTCAAAAGTCGTTAATTCGGACAGCCATAATCCGAGATGATCTATAATCCGGACCTCAAAGCTACAAACTTTCTGCGCACAATGAATTGGAAGTTGATCTTTCAGCACTATCCTTATCTTCAGGGCAGATGTTTTTATTTTATTTGGCTTATAACTCCTTACTAAATGTAGTATTTCATCTCGATGTACTCCTTCTTTGATATGATTTAAATCAAATTCCTCGTCATTATAATTCGCTTCTGATAGTGAAGAAAGTGACACAGAGGATATTGAAAACGAAAAAATTTCGATTGACAAATGAGTTGGTATTCTCGACACTGCAATTATAGTACTTCAACAGCGGAACTTTGTAACTGAAGAAGAAATTACATCTGTTTATAGAATTAAAGAGAAAGTATTATCACATAAAACGAAGCAACTTAAACAACTTACATTGAAAGAAATGTTTAATAAAGTAAACAAATAAATATTAAGCCTTTTTTTTTTGTAAATTTTGGTACCCTTTAGATCATAATTGTTCTTTATTTCATAAATTATGGTTTCATATTTTTAATTTTATAATTTCTGCATGCCATCTTACCAGATTTAAACTGATGATCTATAATCCGGAAAAATCGATAATCCGGAATCGCCGAAGTCCTGACGAATCCGGATTAACGACTTTTGACTGTATGTGATTTGATAACGGAATATTACTAAGTTCTTTAGCCGCTTTTCGGGTGCTACTTTGGTAGACGGTTGCACGGATTTTTGGCGATTTACTTTGACGCAATTGTTGGCACGATTTTTAAAATCGTCAGCCATCTTGAAAAACTCTGTTTTTACGTATTTTACGCAAAGTATTCAAAACTTAAAAAAAAAAATAAATAAATATCGTTAAAAATAATTTGTTCATACGGGTCATCTGAGGACATTTGTTCATACGGGTAGTGGATCTTGGAAGACAACGGGCATAATTTACCAAACAAAGATTCTTATGTCTTAAATGATTATATGGGTGCTTTACACAAATATGGAAACACTTTGTGTGGAATTCGTTATATTCTTCGATTGCTTGGGCAATTTTCTTATTGTGTTACATAGAAACTGTGTTATAGGAAAACCGTGTTGTAGGAGAGTTCTCGCAATTAATGAATTGTATATTACCGAAATCGTGTTACAGGATGCCGTGTTGTAGGAAGGCTACCTGTATATGAATGCAAAGAAGACTACAAATCCTCAAATAGCCGGTTGGTGTAGTTTGATTCAAGAATGCAATTTTGAGATAAAACATAGGTCAGGAAAAAGACTGTCCCATGTTGATGCTTTGAGTAGAGGTCCTGTATCGGAAGCTGATAGCATGATGACGAGAATAGCTAAAATTTTTTAAGTTTGCCAGTCTCTAACTGAAGAAGAGCAAATACTAATGATACAGCATGCTGACGAAGGCCTGAAGAGAATTATTGAAATTTTCAAGAAAAATCAAGAAGAAAAAATTGCTGAGGAGAAACAAATAATTAGGAATTACGTGTTTAAAAAGAATAGACTGTTTTGGAAAACCATAGTGGATGGAAAAGAGAGACTTCTCTATGTGATTCCTAAAAAGCATGAGGAAGAAAGTAGTTGTGAAATTTTCATGATTTATTTGGTTACTTTTCTGTGGATAGAACAGTTAGCAAAATTAAGAAATTATATTGGTTCCCAGGCATGAAACAATATGTACGAAGACATAAATCAGTGTACATCGAGTGCCTTATGAATAAAGCGGCAGGTGGCAGGCAACAAGAACTTTACATCCCATAAAACCTGGTAAAAGACCATTTGCTATTGTTCATCTGAATCACTTGGGTCCTTTTGTAAAGAGTTCGAGAAGTAATCAAGAACTGTTAGTGATAATTGATAACATGACTACATTCGTGAAAATTTTTGCAGTTAAGAATTTTTGCAGTGCTAAAAATATTTTACAGTCTTTGAAGAATTTTGTTAATGATTTTAGACTACCGGAAAGAATAATAAGTGTGGAGGATCTTGTTTTACTTCTCACCAGTTTAAGCAGTATTATACAGATAATGGAATACATCATACCGTGAATTCTACCAAACACCACCAAGCTAATGGTATGGTAGAGTACGTCAACAGAACAATTTTAGGTACGATAATGACAAGTTTGACGGACAAACAATACGGAGATTGGGATTCAAAAATAAAAGAGATGGAAAGAAGCCTTAACACTATGGTAAACAAAACTATAAATAATATTCCATTTGAAATGTTATATGTGTATTTTCCCAGATTTAATGATTGTATACTGAGGAAGTTAGCAGATGAAGATTCAGATACATGGAACGACCAGTGAGAAATTCAAGAATAAGCGCAAGGAAAAATTGGAAGAACAGCAAGTGAAATTGAAAGAGAGATTCTATAGGAAGAGGTTTCGTACACTAATATTTAAACAATGAGAAATCGTTGTGATGAGATGTGTTCCTAAGGCTACAGGTCAACCTACCAAAACACAGCCGAAATATCGAGGACCATTTATAATAATGGAAATATTACCTAGTGATACCTACAGAATAACTCAACTAGAAGTGAAGAATCAAGGTCGTTACTTCACCACCACTGCGGATGTGAGCCAACCGAAACCATGGAGTTGCAATCCCAGCTCTGACAATAATGATGATGATGATGGCGACGACGATCAAGATACTGACCAGTTATCAATCTTGGTTCCTCAGTGGAACCCAAGAAGATCTGTCCGCAAGGACTGATGGAGGTGCTCTTCCCTGCGATCTTTCCTTTTTTTATGTTTATCTATGTATGTTTGCTGATAGAGGAACTTTTGAAATTTTGAACATTAGATTGAACTTTGAACTTATGAACATTAAATTGAACTTGAACTTTTGAAGATTAGATTTAACTTCAAACTTGAACATTAGATTGAATTTGAACTTTTGAACATTAGCTAAAAGACTGCATTTTTGAACGTATCATTTAAGGACTGATAACAGATGAGTTATTTCTGATATATCATGTATTTAGTAATAATTTACAGAAAATGTCCATTATTATGCTAATGTGTCAAAAAATATGTGAATTTATGTATGTGAAAATATTTAAGTAAGTTTATTATCATATCAAATTTTAATATAGTGTGTATTCTTCTTAGTGTATTAGTAATATGTATGTTAAGTAATGTGTATACAAGTTAATGTAGAAATACATATGTATTAGAAAATTAGTTAGTACTCTCAACAATTGGGACTATTGTCAAGTCAAAATAGTTGAATGTTATCAGCCGATAGATGACATTGTAGAAAAGCTGCTGATAGAGGGTGCACAATTGTAATCAGGAATCGGAAGTGGCGAAATGTGAGTGAGGCTAAGAATGTTCGAGAGCTATTTGTAAATACTGTATATATTTAGTGTAGTAAATAAAGAATTTATAAAATACAAGAGCCATCCCGATTGAATGAGAGCTTTTATAGAAAGAGGTTAAAGCCCAACTTACCCCTATCCATCCTGTGACCAGATTTCAGATAACATACCATATTCCCCAGACTTAGCACCCTCTGACTATCATTTGTATTTGACCTTATACACTTTTTTGAAGGGCAAAGAATTCAAAAATCAATTAAGTACTGGTTCAATTTTTCGCATCAAAAGACACAACATTTTTCAAAAATGAGATATATAAATTCCCCTTAGGCTGGCAAGAAGTCATTAATAATAATGGCAATTATATTATGTAATAAAGTTTATTGACAGTAAGAAAAATTTGTATTTTGTTTTATTCAGGAAACGGGCAGAACTTTTTGGTAGACTGAACATATAGATGTGTATATGAATACATACATCCATGTATACATGCATACATACATTTGTAAATCTGGTTCTGATAACAGAACAGAACCCCCCTCTTTTTTTAAATCAAATACATCATGTAACAGGTTGAATGAATTTTGTAACTATATTTTTAATCCTTTGAATCAAATCACTAAAAATATTTCATCTTGTTTTGAATTTTATAAGCATTTAAAATTTCCTGCTTTAATTATAATTTCTTGTTGTTTTGCTAATACTACTAGTGAATACTAGAAAACTTAAATACTTTTAAGATTTTTCTGTTGATAATCAAGCAAAATTCAGTATTTTAATAAAGTGTTGCTTATTATGTTTCTTATTTTTAAATAGGTGAAGTATGAAGCTGTCTAGGGTTTTATTCTTTCCTAAGAGGTTACCAGTAGATTATTCAAACTTTCCAAAACGTTATGTTGAGCGAGAAATGGAACAAATTGAATTTAAGACAGAAAAGGCTCCTCAGTTTCAGGACAGAGTTATCAAAAGAGAATATTTTAAATATGGTATGGATAGACCTTGGACACATGAATTTAAGCAAGAAAACATGCCAGGAAAGCGTTTAAAGTGGGATCTTGTTGAACCAATTAAAGAATGGTCGATATATAGAGGAGATAAAGTAAGCCAGGAATATGTATATTTTTTATGAATACGGTAACATTAGATAAATTATTGTGATGTAAAAGTATTACAATAATATTTATTTTCTTATAGTTTTTATTTTATATATTTATTTAAAGATTATATTTGAGATAAATTTACTAGCTGTACCCTAATTTATTTCCAGTAATTTCCAATTAATAGCAGGATTCAATTTGCTGATTCACTGTAATGCATCAGAAAGGCATTGTTTTAAACATGCAAAACCTCACTAAGTATGGTTGTCACTCGATTGGAAATGGCTAATGTAGCTAACAAGTATACAGTTTTTTTCTTTTTAATAAGTTGTGTGACAAGTAGAAAATGTAAAATATCTTAATGACTTTGAAATATGCAAAACACCTAGTGCAATGATAGCCCTAGATATGGTCAGGTCTTAGTAAATGAAATACAAATAGTATTTATGAAACAACGTTATGCTGCCTTGAGGTGTTTGATGCTGAGGAAAATATCTGATTTTTGTTTCAGTTCGAAATTGTAGCTTTCAAGTTGAATTGGGAACTACACCCGTTTTGAAAAGTTAAGCACTTAATGCAAGTTTGCATTTTTCAAAAGCAGAGTTAAATTTGAGTTTTTGAAAATTGCTGTGGATGCAGATGGCAATATGCAAGTGTTGTATGTTATAGCTGATCACAACTAACTGTTTGAACATAAGCTAATTAGACAATCAATGAAGAAAGTAGCATTGTAAGGTGATTGAGTGAAATGCTAATGTAAACTGTTTATAACTTTCGTAGGAAAATTTTTTATGATATTCATATTTCTATGGCTAAAAGAAAACAAATTACAAATAATGAGCTTTGGCATGCTGTCTTATGCATCGAAGCAGGACAGTCAATCAAATATGTTGCTCTTTTCTTTGGGTTACCTCCTCTTTTGAAAATTAGTATATTATTTTAGTAGCCAGCATTTACATTACAGTAGAGCATTGTAAAGGACTGATGAGAGCACAAGTTTTCAACTTGCCCACCTTTACAGATAATAACGCATTGCATGTGGGAGATTGTTGACAACAGTAATGAGCATAACATTGCAGATCAAATAACTTCATGTTTTATGACATCTTCCAACTCTGACAAATCTTATGGATTTGATGTGTACTCTTTAGAATTTAGACAACTGTTGAACTAGAAATCCATCAGAGTGATGTCAGGGGGTCATGGTAGCCACAAAACTGCAAAGTTATGGAAGATGGCTACTGTTGTAGCACTTGCAAACACATGGCAATGATGGAGGAGCACTGTCTTGCATCCATACAATGTCATTAATGATATTTCACTACTCTAGTTCTGGAATTATGTAATTCTGCAACATTGTTGTATACTGAATACTTGTGTTGGACCACATTTTCATACCAATGGAAGTGACCTCTTCAAAGAGGTATGGGTGGGGAATGAATGTGCTTACAGTGCCATATCACACAGTCACTTTAGCTTAGTATAAATGTGCTGGTGCCACATCATGAGGATTTTTATCAGCCCAATGAACACAGTTTATGGAGTTTACATTCTTAGCTAAGGAGAAATGAGGTGCATCCATCCACAATATCTGAAGCAGCAACCTGCTATCTTCATCATATCTGATGAGGAAAAAATTCACAAAGTTGACATTCTGTTGCTTGTCTTCAGCTTGTCTAGATGCACTGGAATCAATTAGAAAACATACTCAGAACAGAGCTCAAAAGCTTGAGAACTGTTGTTTTTGGTACATCTAAACCTGCAGGCAGCACTTCGTGTAGTATGCCATGGACCTGCAGTAATTATATTATATACTTACTCAACAACTTAAACATATGTTGGTCTGGATCATGGTTTATCACTTGTGTATCCAGTTTCTTCAGACTTTTTTTACCAAATCATGGACAATTTTTAAGGAACATGGACTTCATTTAGCTTATAATTTTGCCAATAAACTTGCACTGCTTGATTAGCATTTTTCCTGTTTAGATAAAAGTGTTTTATCAATTCACCTTGTTGCTTTTCCTGCAAGTGACATCTTGTTAGCATGTTTGAACACCTGAAAGGAGAAACATCCTGTAAGTGTCATCTTGTAGCATGTTCAAACACCTGACTGAAGAAAAAATTTTCCCACACCACTTATTAACCCTCTGAGCGCCATGGCCCTCATTATCCAGTCATGCGATTTTTTGTTACTTGGTATATGCTAGCTTATAATTTAAGATATTTTGCTTTTTTACTTTCATTAATAATATAAATGTCATCTTAATGAATGTAAGTTTATGAAAATAGAGAAAATAGGTAAACATACAAATTTAGCTAATAAAGCCTCTTTAGATACAGGTCTTAATGACACATCCAAAAACCCATGCCATTCAGAGGATTAAAGACAGTCACTAAATGTCAGTTAAGTATTCAGTGGGTATTTAAAGAAATAGAGACACTGTAAAAGTACACTGATGCAGCTTTCTTTTAATGACAATGTGACAAGTATTTAAAGAGAAAATTTGTAGAGGTTTGTTTTTTACATGGCTAAAAAAGTTGATCTTGCATTCATTTTATATCTTCCATGTCACAGTAAAACTTTCCTTTGAAAAGCAATTTTAGTTTTGGGGAAGTGAAAATAAATGCAATAAGAGAAATCTGGAGAACATGCAGAATTTATTAATTAACTTATTTTCAGGCAGAAGGAACTGTACAAAATGGTTCTTGACTGGTGAGAAGATATATTATCATGCAGTATAATGCATGTGGAATAATGGTTATAGACTGAATAACAATGGGGAACAATTTGTAACACAAATTCTGTTGAGTTTGATTTTTGATCTCTTTTAGAATTAAATATGCATTCTGATTTCAAAGCTGTAACTAGTTTTCTTCTACCATGTCAAGTTTTTTCTGTACACCTTATGTCAATGTGACCACTCTCCACAGCATGGAGCATGGATGATAAGAAGTATTACTGCTCTCCTGTTGGCTGACATAAACCCTCCGATTGGCGCCAGGTGAATGACACCGTAGGAGACCAGCAACAGGTGTATACTTTTGTAGACTAGTTCAGTTCTGTAGTGAGACATATATTGCTGTTATACAGTGAAATGCATTTTGATGCGAAGTCCATGTTTTTGTATGTATACAAGGTTAGCAGTATTAAGGTTTTGTTTATATATGAACTCAAACCTTATGTCTGCCTCTGCTAGTTTGTGTCATAAGTACTTAACCCTTTCTGGCACACTACCTTTTAAAGTTGGAATTTCAACAAACAACCAAGCAACAACAACAAAAAGAAAAAAAAAATGAAATGGTAGGCAGGCTAATCAGGCCAACATGAGTACATAGGTAAAATTTTTTAAAGATAGCGAATACCATTTTCATTCTGCATGTGTGCCTGAAGAAGGTTCACTGAATGAATAGAGCTTCAAAGAGGGCGCTGAAGCGGGCATTGCTGAGGAGCGCTTAATAGAGGAAAAGATTTTGCCTACAATTAAAAAAACACTAGATTCTGATTACTATAGCAGATTTAGCATTACACATGGGAATGTCTGCTACTCTACACCTCCCAAAAAAGGTTATATGAATATTACATGCATATAAATGAAAAAAAGAAACTTGATATATTTACATTTCCTATTTACACTTTCATCTATTTCTTTTCATGGTGGTACTTTTCGAAGCAAGTGACACCACCTTTGAAAAAGCACAACCCAACATTGCATGTTTTGCATATGTACCGGGATCCGTATCGGATTCATTATCTGAAGGCAATTCGTTTAGCACTTTCAGTGCTTCAGAAATGGTCAGCCTTATCTGATCTATTTGCAAAATAATCAAAAATCAGAAAAAATAAAAAAATATTCTATCTACAAGTAAGAAAATATAAACTGTAAAATAAAATTAAATAAACATCTGCAACTCAAAACTATCAAAACATAGAGCTAACAAAACTTCTTTCAACAAAAGTGATGGAAAAAAAGGGAACTGCTCTCATGAAAAATTAAAGAGCTAATGAATAAAATTACCCCTGACCTTCAGGAAACACCCCAATAATTGATAACCAAACCTCCCTTCAAAAAAAAAAAAAAAAAAAAAAAGGGGGGGGCTATGAAACACAGATGTGCACCCACCTTTCTATTGTGAATGAGCTCACCGAAGAAAATACTACAGTGAAACAAAGATACAGTTGTTGGTCTAGTCTTCGTGTTTCGGTGATTCCACTCTGGGCACACCATATGTTCATTGTTCAAATTTAGGCAAGATTTCAAAGTAGTAATTTAAACTAATATAGAATAAAGAGATCAGCATACAGCGAAGAAAATAACATGGAAGTATCTTTTCAAATAATTCCTTTTACATCCTAAAAAAATGTGAAAGGTTTCTTTAAAAAATGAGGGTTATTAAAAACTAAACATGGCTAATAAGTATGGACTAGTTTTTGTTGTGCCACAATCTAATATAAATAAAGAAGGTTAAAAGTAACCTATAGTAAATTATAAAGCCTTTTCCATTCGATTTTTCTATGTGTATAGAGGAAATATTTTCAGTACGCTAGAAAGGGTTAAACAACCCTGATTCATTTTTTGTGATATGTAGCAGTCCTACCATTCCCAGTCTCAGTACATTTGTCAGGCAAGTCTGCTTTACCTATTTTAAAGTGAAAATTAGTAATCACGATAAATCATGGGCCCATCATTAAGTGTGCAAGCAGTATGTCGAGAGTTTATGGATGTGGACAAAGGGAACATATTTAAAATTTTCATTTGGTATACTTATGATTTGGCAAGGGCTCAAAGATCACAAGTGGTTGTTATTTTTATATAGTGAAAACATCAGGATATAACAAGAAAAACAAATGTAATATAGAGTTTTCTAGTTTACCATCAGCTATATGCTCAGTGTCTCACTCAGCTGACCTTCCAGTGTCAGTTTTCAAAGAATGGAAATACTCTTTGGAATACAGGAATATGATTCTGATGAATGCTGAGTTTGAAATTGAGGATGATTC